TATAAATTTATATATATATATATATATATATATATATATATATAAAAATAAATTTATATTTCTCATACATATATATATATATAAAAATTTATATTTCATATATATTTTTCTGAAAATATACATGTATGGAAATTTTTAGATATATATTTTTCATATGTATGTATATTTTCCACTAATATTATCTATATATATATATATATATATATATATATTGTTCTAGTCTATATTGTTGTTTTGTATATTTTTATAACAGAGAAAGAAGTGTTCCACGTATTAACTTTTGCAGACATCTACCTGGAGGGCTTTTCGACTGAAATATTTTTGGTAAGTTAAGATTCCTGTAGGATGCACACGTAAAAATACAGATAAAATGATATTAAGGCCGTTGCAAATCCGTATTTACTTTCACTGTTACTATTTCTTTACACCCAGAATATTAACTAATTGGTACGCTTTAGTGATCAGCGTAGATGAACATTCTACACATATCCACATACATACATACATAAATATTCACTTGCACATATACACGGGGACGCGCCACGATATACACACATCCTTTTATACGATTCTCTTCTTTTATGTGTCGTGTCCCTTCAGGGCATAGGTGATCCTTCTTCTCCACCTTCTCCTGTCTCTTGTAGCTCTTAAGAATTTTTGTCTTTTTATTATTTTTCCCAGACTCTGTACTGCAATCTACTTGCTTAAGCCCATTATGTATGTCACGCGTTGCTTTTTTACAGTTTCTCTTTCATTCTATCCGCCCTGTGAGCATCAGATTTCCCAAGCCTTCTTACGTGACCCAGAGATTTCGTCTGCTTCTTAATGATGTTATGTATAAATTTCCTCTTTGTTTCCATTCTCTTCAAAGTTTCGTCATGTTCGTCCAATGGTATCCTTAGTATCCCTCTATAGAACCACATTTCTGTTGCTTGGAGCCGGGTCTTCATTTTTTAGGAGATTTATTCCACATTCTCTGCCATACAGGACGACAGATATCACGTAAGAGTTCAGTACTCTTTTCTTTGTTTCCAACGAAATTTTCGTGTCTCTTATTACTCTGCTTAGCTTTTGGTGTACACTTTCCCAACCCAATTTTCCGTTTTCTGTTATAATACTACCCAGATTTAAATTTCTGTACCTGCTTGATTTTGCTGGTGACCATTATGCCTTATAGTTTTTTCTTAGTCCCTTCTTCTCATTCTCCTTCGCTACTTTCTATAGGAGTTTTTTTTTAGTTTCTTTTCCGTGTTTGCTATCAACATTATATTATCTGCATATTTCATATTGTTAAGATTATGGCTGCGAATGATGAATCCTGGTAGGAGTTCTTGTATGTTGAAATAAAGCGTTGGTTTCTGTATTTGTTGACATTGTAATTGTTGCCAGTTCTATCACTGTGCTGTGTAGTGCAAACTCAGAATCGGTGGACACAAGGCGAGCAATCACTGAACAATGCAAAAGAAGAAATAGACGAGATATACCTACATATTAAGGGCAGAACGAGAGCAATTTATAACCGTAGATTAATTAAAGTGTCCAGTTCGAAATTTCTTGAATGATAACCGGATTAACAAGTACCTGATTAAGAACAAAGGGAAAAATGTCTAAAACGTTTTTCATAATAACAACAAATATAGGGATAATCATCCATCTGTAAATAATTTCATATTATTTACATTATTCAGACTACTGTCCTCATCTTCGTTGCCAGATTTATCAACAACGTTTCGGCCGTTGTACGCTCCAGCCATCTTCATGTGGTTGGAATGTCAAACTGAACCATTTATTTTGCGGGCTGAGGTAGACAGCTGATTCTAATTCCACGTGCCATGTCTAATGGATGTCAATTATCTGTTATCTCCTGTGAATTCCCCACTCCAAGCTCTCTACTGCCTTAACCACGTATTGAACACACACTGCTTGGATCCTGTCACTAGATTTAACTAATGACTTTATCCACTGTGTCATTGTGGATATCTGCGTATGAAATTCTGAGTATTATAAACTAAAATGTCTTCAGTAACCATTTTTATCAGTGCTCATATTTCAAATTTTGCTGTTATCATTGCATGTTTTTTACCAGACTTCATATTGAAATTTTAGTTTAGGGTAATAATATAGATTCTGATAGTTATTTTACATCGAGAACTGTTCTATTAGCACCAGCATTCACCGTGCTTACGCACGCACGCGCGCACACACACACACACATATATATATATATATATATATTGTAGATATATACGCATACATACTTACATACATACATACAAATATATATATATATATATATTTTACACACACTATTTTTAACTTTATATTTAGTGAATACACATGTTTGAGTACACATCATCTCTCTCTCTCTCTCTCTCTCTCTCTCTATATATATATATATATATATATATATATATATATATATATATATGATTAAAACGAAAATGATCCATGTGTGCTTCTTATAATATGTAGATTTAATAGGCCGGTTAATGAAATTTGATGAATAAAAAGTACAAGAAATGATAACAATATTTGCAATAAGATTAATGATATACAATTATATATTTGCCTTTTGTCTAAATGAAGCACAGGGAGAAAGTTTTTTTTAAGACGGCATTTTCGGACACGCCCATGACCTTTTTTTCGACTCTCCTGATAATGATATTCATTACTTGGGAATCCCTTCTGTTTTTCCTCTTTATTTTTTTATTTTTATTTTTTTTTTTGAACGGGCTTATGACGTCTTTATACTTGTGTCAATTGATAGACATTGGTCGTCCACTCTGAATGATGTCATTTCTGTTGCGAGGAGCTGTAGATGGGAGCGCATTTCAGGCACAGCCGGCAGAGAAATATATGTTACTTATATATATATACAAAAACCTTTCCCGCCGATTCTCATTCTAATCATTCATTCTGTACTCGCTGTGTTGAATTCACTACTCTCTCTTTTCTCCCATTATATGTCCCAGAAAGTACATCTGTCTCTTTGTGATTGTAATTATACATGTTCATATATTCTTAAAAATAATCTTTGTTGCCCACAGGTCTTATCAAATGTATTCTTAATACACATAAAAAAAAAATGTCTCGATTCAGTTAATTTACAGCACACTTTGCGTTGATTTTAATAATGATTTTCTATAGTTTTATACTTTGCTTATTTTCTAGAAGGCAACTTTTTTCTATTCCTATGAGCCCTCGTATGGTTGTGTCACATTTTCCGTCGTCCGTTACCAAATCAGGAAAATAGTTGAAATTTTGTATCTGCTTTGCTTTTGGCATATCCAATATGTTGCTCACCATTACGGTTTTCTCTTTTACAGAAGGCCATTCATTCTATCTTCTTACACCTAATAGTTAGACTTTTCCTCTGGATTTCCATTTCTATCTAGTCAAAGGGTTCTTTCGGCTTCTTTTCGGAGTCAGCGTCATCCGCATATCATATTTTTAAGATTATGCTCACCGATAATGAATTCAGACAGGACTTCTAGTTCTGTAGGTTTTCGATCATATCATGCTGAAAAACTAGTTCTAGTATGATCGCCGAAGTTAAGCAACATCATCATCATCATCTTGCGGCCTCAGCCGAGATTGAACTCACCAAAACTTTGATTGGTGTAGTTCATAATCTTGTCAAGTACCTGAATTCTTGATGCTTCGCTAGGGCTATCAAGGGTGTTTTTATCGTGACACCAACACTAAATGGATTGCCAACCAAGGCTCAGAGAGTCTCCATTCACCCTCCTCTAAGAGCAGGTTTTAATTCAAAGTTTTCCTTCTCCTAGACCAGTTGCTATCCAAGGCTATAGAACCCAGTCTGTCCTGCTATTTACCCATGAAGGGAGAAGAAAGGGGATTCACACCTTTCCCAAGGGTGTTAGCACGTAAGTGAATGTAATGGATTCGACTGGAATTCGAACTCGGCTCTCCGATTCCTCAATCCAAGCCGCTATCCATTACTCCACCGTGCCTCCTTCATCGTTAAGCAACATCGAACCTGGTCAACAACTAGATGGGTGACCACTTGGGAATACCAGGGGTTGTAAGCTTGAATTATACCTCTGGGAGTTAGAAATCAGAGAGCCAATTTCAGTCAGTCGTTATATACATTCGGTCTAAATGCCATTAGGAAAGGCATGAATACAATTTTCTTCCCCCCTCGCCACCAGCTATGAGTCATATAGTAAAACTTATATCAGTAAATCAGATGAATGTTATGAATGCCCCTTTATCTCAGTTAAATAAATCCAGTTTGAAAATTCACATTATAATTTCGTGCATTGACTGAGTTATTTTTTTGTTGTTCCCAGTAGAGGTTACGGATGACTCAAATACTTATCCTATGGAAATGTAAAGGTTACGGATTACTAAAATATATTCATATTGATATGCAAAGCTTACGGATTACTGGAATATCTTTCCTATGGAAATGTAGAAAATACGGATTACTGAAATATATTTCCTATGAAACTATACAGATTACGGATTACTGAAATACATTTCCTATGGAAATATAGACGCTACGGATTACGGAAATATTTTTCCTATGAAACTGTAGAGGTTACGGATTACTCAAATATATTTCTTATGGAATTGTAGAAGTTACGGATTGCTAAAATATCTTTCCTATAAAACTGTGGAGGTTACGGATTACTGAAATATCTTTCCTAGGGAAATGTAGAAAATACGGATTACTGAAATATATTTCCTATGAAACTGTAGAAGTTACGGATTACTCAAATATCTTTCCTATGCAAATGTAGAAGTTACGGATTACTGAAATATCTTTCCTATGAAACTATACAGGTTACGGATTACCCAAATATATTTCCTATGGAATTGAAGGGTTATAATATTTCAAATATGAATTCGTGTCATTCCTTCTCAAAAGAGTTTTGCTCTCTATGAAACATAGTTTTAGTTCTTTCTGTATTTGATCGTTCTGATAGCATTGCGGTCATAACTATAACATTTCTTGTTTCAGTGTCTTGAAGGAATACGGCCAAATCTCGTTGAAATACCGGTTCCCATACGATCACCCAAATTAAGCAATGTTGAGCCTTTTCATTACCGAGATGGGTAACAGCTTGGGAATGCAAGCTGTTGGATGTGGGGGTGGTGTAATTGATAATGGCTCGGAATTGTAAATCGAGAGCCGAGTTCCAATTCCAGCTGGGTTCGTTATATTAACTTACACGTAAATAAACTTGGGAAAGGTGTGAATCAACATCTTCTCCCCAGCTGTGGGTTAATTAGTAAGCCTTGTATCAGTATACCATTATTACAATCTTACAATCTAAAAATATTTTCTGGTTTTAAATAACATGCTTAAAATGTTGGTAAGCCGTAGAAAATGATTGAGTCGATCGATGAAATACTGATTCGCTATATATATATATATATATATATATATATATAGATTAAATTATTTTCTCTGGAATATAAAATTATAGAAACTATTGTGTTCATAAAGTGGGGGTTCAGTTTACATATTGCTTGTAATAAAGAAATTATGCCCCACTTTATATGCAATATATTTTCTTGTTTGCTTATTCTTATTAGGTAAGAATTCACCACATCTACCCCCGCCCCAGTTATAAATTAATTATTAACAATTGTACCACTAAATCTTTATTATCTCCTTCCCACACAACAAAAAAAAATCGTACGATCTAAACCAATTATTCTGGCTTTAAATAACCTTCAAAGGGTAGATAAACCGTAATAAACGAATCAAATAGAAAATCATAGTCTTGAACACACACACACAAAATTATATATGTGGGCGGTTCTAGTATAAGCCCGTAAGTGTGATGCATCCATTGGAAAACGAATTGCCGATATTAATAATGATCTTGCAGACGAACCACTACTTTACGAAAGAAAGCGTCTAATATTTCTCGAACGGAAGTTAATCAGGCACAAGGCCCAAACAAATTCACTCTATACATTTATACATACAACGACAAGTCTAGTATTCTAACTAGGTTACTCTTGTAATATAAATATATGTGTGTGTGTTATCGATGACTAAGTGATTGATTTTAAAGTGCCAATCAATGTCATGCTTCCTAATAATCATTAATATTTCATCCAGTCTCTAATAAAATTAGCCATTTATCTTTTAACACCCGACTCTCACAATCAGGTCCTGCTCAATTTTCGTATCTGGGAAGCATCAGAAAAGGAATTGACAGTTGGGTTCGATATTCCGATATTATAAGAACATCAAAGATTTGGATCTGACAGCTCGCAATCGTTAAGTCATTCTTAACCCTGCAGAGAATATCAAAGAGGCAAATTAAAAAGCTGGAATGGTAGTTGCCGCACGTACCGTACACAAAGATATGAAATAAATATTGGCATCTAAAATCCTGGTTTCTTTTCAGTTCGTTATAGTCGTAAAACTGAGTACTGACATATTCATTTTTGGCACATATGTCTATTAAGTAGAAACATTTCACCCAGTGCACATATGAACATTATCAAATAAAGATAAACAAAATCACGCTCACACATCTCGTACGTTTAAACAAACTCTTGTATTTGAACGCACACACACACACACATTATTTATGTCTGTTAATACGTACACCATATACGCGTTTGTTCGTAAACTTCTATACGAAAGTTAAGCAATACAATTGGAGCTTAATATGTTCACAACAGAATTTTGATAGGTTTGGTTTGTTTTATTGCATATCAACCTCAATGGGTTATTTAATGCCGATAAGATTTTTATTGATGGTAATATTTTTTTCAAAAAATGTATTGTTGGTAATATATTTTCAAAAATGTATTTCTGGCAATATTTTTCTTTTTCAAATAATACTGATTTTTTCATTAAAGTATTGCTGGTATTAAAACCCATTTTTATACTTTCATATTGTTTTGACTCCTTTTAGGGGTTAACTATTTGCCCATAGGTTGGACCCTGACAGGTGTTACCAACCCGGGTAAAGTTGGACCTGGGAATACCAGCAATTAAGATGTGGCTCTATGCTCCCAGTAATGATAGTAATTGTTACTACTCTCCGGCCTTCTTCAGGTATCTGGCAATACAGAAAATTATTTTAGTGTAATAAATTTTTGAAAACAATTATTACAACCAATACATATTTGGAATACATTTTTGAAAAACGAAAAATATTACCAGAAATACATTTTTGGAAAAAGATATTAGCAGCAATACATTTTTGAAAAAGAAAAAATATTACCAAAAATACATTTTTGAAAAAAGAAAAATATTACCAGAAATACATTTTTGGAAAAATATTAGCAGCAATAAAAAATCTTTCGGCATTAAATAAGCCATTGACGTTGATATGCCGTAAAACTAACCAAACCAAACCAAACAAATACCCTTGTGAAAGAGTTTAATCCATCTCTTCCCTCTCCAGCTATGGGTTGAATAGCAGATCAGACTGGGTTCTTTAGCCTTGGTTGGCAACAAGTCGACGGTAGAAAGAAAGGGCAACCTAATGCAGGAAGAATCTTCTGCCTCGTCAGTCATGTATCGAAAGATATATGATCGCTCAAGTGTGCATTACATGTGGCACTTGAATGGCTGAAAGGTATATTTATCTAAATCACAAGACATGGTTACGTGTTCTGCTCGAAATTGCCAAGTGTTATTCTTATTAGACTGGATTTTAAAATCATTTTTTCTGTATTGTGTAATCGATATTGCCTAAAATATTGTAAGTTTTTTAGGAGTCATATTTTATGTACTCTTTTCAGGACGAAGACAATCATTGCTTTCGATCACTTCGTGTATTTATTCATCTAAGATTTGATAGTTTTGAATTCCTTTTTTGTTCCTTTTCTGTATCCATGCACACAAACTTGAATAAGTTATCTGTTGTTTCTTTCAGTTTCTACTTCCTTCAATATTTATCTGACATCTTCTAGTTCTTCTTTACACATTATAAAAGGAAATTTCAGATCATTCTTTATGATTTTGCTTACAAATTCACTTGTTGTTCATATCTTTCTTAAAGCTTCCTACTTGCTCACATGCTCCCTCCATAGTATTCTTAGCATTCGAATATAGAACGATATATCTCAAGTGACTTCTTCATATCTGAGGAAGTTTCCCAGCATTCACTGCCATATAGTTGCTTGGGTATTACATAGCAGTACTCTTTTCATTGGTTCTGACGAAGTCGTGATAATTTCCTTATTTTCAGGAAGGAATCAATCGCTATTTCTATGCGCTTTCGTATTTCTGTATTTCATTTCGGTTTTCTACTATTACACTACAACATGTTTTCCCCAACAGGGCGATTTCAACAGTTAGGTGGGTGATGAGCAATTGAACAGAAAATGATAGAAATTTTAGTGGGCGATATAGGATTTTGAGTATTAAAAAGCTATATTAAAATGTGCCACCCGTAAAAAATATTCAGAAGTGATATACGAAGCACCTGTACATATTTAATAAAAAACAGGACGCTAAATGGAAATAACTAAGTCACATTTCTAGATAAGATATACGTATTTGTTACCGCCATTTAGTATTTTTTTTTGCTACATCATAAAATTAGTTTATGTACCAGTAACAAACATTTACCAAATAATTTTGTTATGCATTAGAAATTTTATTCAACAGGTGGGAGGCGTGAAAATTTTCTATGTGAAAAAGAATTTGGTAACGCTTACACTACACAGTTAAATTTGTCTATCCGCTTCATATTAACTTCGCAATACGTTGTTCAAAATTTGCGTTTTCTAACCGAATAAAAAGTAATGGACAAAACTGTGTTTCCAACCGATTAAAACTCTGATTTAAGATATATATTAGAATTGTTCTTCAGGCATGTGAATTTATGTCAGCCAAATTAGCTCAGTTAAAATTTACACTTCATATATGAATAAATTCAGATGTCATTCGTGTATTTTAAAATCTACTATGCCACTGTGATATAAATAGCCAATAAAATGCTTCCACAGTTTTCCACCTGACAAAAAGGTCCTCCCAAGCCTTCGACACTTACCTTAAGATATTTAATCTCGACAACTGACTGTCGGTCGGACTCTATGATATATTGAACTTGCTTACATTGGTTCTCGGCTACTGGAGGCACTGTAACAAAATCTGACCACCCGGGTGGGGCTGGAAGCTATCAGCTTCTTTGTTTTTTGTTGTTTTTTTTCTGTTGTAGTACGATTTTAACGGAAAATACATACATACATACATACATACATACATACATACATGTATACATACATGTGTGCGAGTGTGTGTAAAGGAAAGCCTGAAGAAAAAAAAAAGATATTTAGCGGACAAATAATTTCCATTTACAAAAAAACGGACATTTTGCATACCCAGCTTTTAAAAAATAGTTTTTCTCGAAAACATTTACAAAGCAATTTACAGATATAACGTGGATGATTCTTTCATATTTTTCGCACATACACACACACACACACACACCCACAGACTCGCACAGACACACACACACACACACACACGCGAGCACGCGCGCACGCACACACACACACACCCACGCACACACACAGACGCGCGCGCACTAACACGCACATACAAACACGATTCCCGTTAAAACTGTGCTGCTTTGTGTGTGTGCGTGTAGAGAGAAAGAGAGATAAAGATACGTACATACATAGAGAGCAAAAGGAAATTTAAAGAAGCAGATACGCTTGGTGTATATATATATATATATATATATATATATATATATATATATATTATTATTATTATTATTATTATTATTATTTCAAAAGTTACTTTAGCTGATACCATGTTTAAATAGACGTTCGGTTTTTCTAAATGTGAATGACCACTACCGTATTGCTCGTTCGAGTAAAGTAATAAAGAAAATATTTCTTATTATGTCTCTGGAATACGCATTTCAGTGGACAAAATTCGTTTATAAATTAAATTCATTAAATAAAGAATGCGCTCTCTGGTGTGTGTATATTCTTTTTAATTAAGATTTCTCAAATATTCAGGCCGGTAGAGGAAAACAAATCAACATATTGTTTAATAGACAAATGGGACGGTTACTCAAATAATAGTATTCCACGAAACGTTTACATTGATAAAATCTGTCAAATTACTAAACAAAAGTCAATAGCCTAGAATATATGCATATATTATCACATATAGCTGATGTTAATAACATAGTGATCGATGCGTTTTTGTAACTAGAAGTAAATAATTTCTGTGTATGTGGATGTGTGTGATTATTTTCCCTGTAAATAAAGTATCAAACATGGCGATATAGAATTAGATATTAAATTCTAGTATTTTATCTAATTGTGGTGATAACATAATCTAGTATTTTTTGCTAGTGTAGTTACTTACATGCATCATTATCTATATATGTGTGTATATTTATCCGTAATAATTTATATATGTAGATATACTTATTGCAGAATAACATTATCATTTTTTTTTTATAAATAAAATGAACATTTAGATTTAGATTCTAATTCTGTCTTTATATCTTGAAGTAAATAATTTGTGTGGATGCGTGTTGGATTTTTTAAATTTAAATTTGGAATTCCTAATGACGATTTATATAGTTTTATTTAAAGTTTATTTTAAATACAAAAATTTCAAAAATAACAACCCGCGTATAAAATATTGATTGCTTTATCATTGCTATAAACCGATATATCTAATAAAATGTAATTTATGTAACGGTGATCCTAATTCAGTTGCTGATTGTGTTGCGCAAGAAAATCCGGGTCATGCTATCGGGATATATATATATATATATATATATATATATATATATATATATATATATATATATTATAAATTAATTGATTTAAAATATGTTTTTCCGCTACACAATTCTAACCATGTTTCAAAAAAGGAAGCTAAAAGCCACGAATTTAGTTTTGCAATTAAAGACATTAGTTCCATTTCATCCTCAAGCGAATAAAGATAGATAGATAGATAGATAGATAGATAGATAGATAGATAGATAGATAGAGCGATAGATAGGTAGATAGATATGAATAGATTGAGATCGATAGATAGATACATAAATATATAGATAGATATGAATGAATTGAGATCGATAGATATATAAATAGATAGAAGATATATACATATACAGATAGATATATATATGAATAGATTGATATATATATAGAGATATATAGATAGATAGACATGAATAATCTGAGATAGATAGATAGATAGATATGTACATATTAATTGATTGAGATAGATAGATAGATAGATAGATAGATAGATAGATAGATAGATAGATAGATAGAAGGTATTAACAGATTGAGATAGATATGTAAAAAAATAGAAAAAATGGCAATGTGTCTGTTGTATAAAATTGCGAATTATTTACATGTTGTTATATTCTGTTTTCTCAAACTTCAGTGAATTTAAATTATATAGAATGATAGACTCTAAAATATCTGTCCGACTAAGAAAAGATTTCAATTACATTCCAATGTTTGGCTATTTGATGTTTTTAATTTTTCTGTACTCATTTTGTGTGGCTCTTTTTACATGTGTGCATGTGTTTGTATTCACATTTCTGAACCGATCAGGCTAAATTTGATACTCATTTAACTTCATATGGCACAAGATAGAATTTGTTTCATCCGAAAATATCCCGGTTTCCTCTGTTATTGCTGACCGCACCTATGTGAGAACAATAGGGAGGTACTCTCTAATGGGAGGATCCTAAGTTATTAGGCTTCAATTAACTCTTATTGCTTTACAACTCCCAAGAACAAGAGACCTACCTCATTACACTAACCAACGCAACAAGAAAACGCAAGGATTCCGAAAATTCTTTAGCAATAAAGTGAAAGTAATATATCCCAAAAATTGTAAAATAAGTACAAAAACTAAAATATTAAAGCTAAATAATCAATTCAGCATCAATTAAATGCTATTAAATTTATGAAAAAAATCATATTTAAATTTCATGAATAAAATATAAAATAAATGAAAGCAACGCGATCTGTCACGTGAAAATGCGATACTTTAAAAATCCAACATGGCATCCGTGGGCGCGATATTTGAAAAATGTATAAATAACAGGGCACAAAAGCAAAAAACACTTTCTGTTAATGATTAATGAAAGCCGAAAGTATTCAGAGAGGGGATAATTGACTGAATTTGAAAACGGAAACATTGATCGATATATTAATCAAATATACAAAAATGTATCTAAAAAACAACTTTCGCTGATATTCTGTAAGTAAAAATGTTGATTAATATATATATATATATATATATATATATATATATATATGTGTGTGTGTGTGTGTGTGTGTACATATCAAAATAAAAAGAAAGAACAGTCAGATTTATGAGCCAGTGTTCTTTAGTATTTATAGAAAAAAGTCCTCATTGCTGAATAACTTTCGAAACTTCGTAAGTTATTCGGCATCGCTTAAAAATGGAAATGAACTTCAAATTTTAAGATTAATTTAAGATTTAAGTTTAGTTTTCGAAACATGGTAAATTCTGTGTCGCGATGAATAATTATTTAAAAAAAAATTATAAAATTATATATATATATATATATATATATATATATATGTATTTATCGCTCTCTCTGTGTCTGTCTCTCTCTCTGTCTGTCTCTCTCTCTCTCTTTATATATATATATATATATATATATATATATATATATATGTGTGTGTGTGTATATAAAGAGAGAGACAGACATAGAGAGAGCGATAAATACATAGATAGATAGATAGATAGATAGATAGATAGATAGATAGATAGAGTGCATGTGTGTTTAGTAAGCTATTTACATATACGTTTCATTGACTGATTCGTTTTCTACGACTTATCAAAACTTTTGCAGGTTATTTAAATCATTAAAATATTTTTTTTTAGATTGTAAGAGTTTTTTTCTTGAAAAAATAATTTTTTAGGGATAAACTTCTTACTAATTAACCGATAGCTAGTGGAGAATCGACGGATTCATACCTTTCCCCAAGGGCATTTGTTCGTATGTGAATATAATGGAATTGGTACTTGGCTTTCCGAATAAAAATTCCCTGCCAGTATCCATTACACTACCTGCACCTCCAAGCTAGCACTATCTGGCATTCGCATCCGGTCACCTATCGAGGTACAGACCAGGCTCATCGTTGCTTAACTTCGGTGATCGGAACCGGTGTTTCAACATGTTGTAGCCGTAAGTCGTAATATATGTGGGAATAAGTATCAGATTATATCCACACACACTGTCACATGCATGCTTCTATATTTAGATTAAAATATATATATATATATATATATATATATATATATAAGATATTCCTAAGGATCCAGGCAAAGCTACCTAGGTTTCACCTAAATGGATCTTCAGGGAAATGCCGGCTCTGGACGATTGCTTTCGCCTTGGTTTAATGTTCTTGGTTCTTTCTTTTTTTTTATTCTCCATTTTTTTTTCCGGTACCGGTTTGTTTCTACTACAAGTTCAGCCAACCATGTTTTTTCAAACGAGTACCAACATATATATATATATATATATATATATATATATATATATATATATATATATATATATATATATATAAGTGTGTGTGTCTGTGTACTTTTGAGTGTATCTCCATGTGTGCATTTATATCTATGTGTTTCAGACATCTACATATCTAGCTGATAAATTATATTCTAAATAGAGAGACAAATTAGGCAAATCGCACTACCACCCCTTGAAAAGTCTGCAAGTTGTTAGAATAGAATTTGTCAACCATCTGACTCTATTGTCCGTTTACTTGTCCAACAGCGGTTAATTGCTATGCATTGCAAATCTTAAGCGATCCTGTTGCCATGAAACATTCATAAGGTAAGCTGTTAGCTTGCAAATGCGTGTGACTTTGCACCTCAACTGTGATTGCATATATAATACAATGTATGTGTAAGCCTTTTTAGAACAATAAGTGCTATTTCACACACGTGTCAACTTATTCGAATATATGAGCATGTCTCAATGAACAAAGGTTATTTGAATTGGAATGTTGGAATTTCAAATTTATTCCACAATTTTCCATATGCATAAACTCATGTATAAATAAGAATCAACAGATTTCAATATAATGTAACAGAGGGAAGAGGGAGATGAAAATATCCAGACTGATGAATAGAAACATCGGATGTATAAAAGGGCATACCCGACCATATATCACTATATATCACTATACTTATTTATAATACATGGTTTTTTTGGTGCAATGTCAAATAGCTATTCGGCAGGTATAAAACAGTACTCACTTATCCGTACATATTGAGTCATCTACCTCAAGATACATATGCCCACTTGTGAGGTTCCTGCAATCGAGAGTTTCCACGACATAGAATGTTTGAACCCCAAACCAACCTCTTTACTCTGTGGAAAATTTGTTTATTCATTTGTCTAGATTCCCTTCCTTTAGACCACCACGCCCTCCTACGATTATTTGTTCCATTTACCTGAGTTTGGAAATACAGAATTTTCCTTCTTATATACCGGTTGATACCCAAGACTGTAAGGCTCTGTCTGGCACTCGAATAGCTTGCTAATACCTATAGCAGGTTATTGCAGTGACATATTTGTGTTTCGTTAACAATCACAACACCAACTTTTAATTTATAATGTAACTTTGCTAAGTAGACACTAGTTAGGTTTCTGCGGGAGAGTGCAAAATCGGACCGGATCAGTAGTTGAATACGGGCAGCAAGATCAAACCCTCGGCCACAATGACTAGTGACTTCGTGATGTGATAAACATCGAAAGCATCGAACATTTCAGAAAACTTTCGTCTATGAAATTTCCCTCACAAGAATTAGTTCAACGCATTGAATGATTTTTAGGCAGTACCCAACGGTGCCACGCATTGGGATCGACTCCCCAGACAGAGATGATATGACAAACTCAACTTTGATAAATTTACTTTGGTGAGATTTGAACCGTGTTCTCAAAGAAATGTTCAATCTTTAAACATTAATTCATAACACCTCACCCCTATACTTGCCGTGAACCAATGGCTTATGGGTATAGTCTTCGACTCATACCAAATCAGTCGGGTTTGGATCCCGGTTTAGCTGCGAAACAGTCTATCTGTGGATGAATTCTATTTTTGAATTTGTAGGGCTGATGAATTGGATCGTGATTACGATTCCAATGTAATAAATTATAACCATGGAATATTAGTGTTTGAGCATTTTTTTAATTATATTATTACTCTGTCCTGGACATTGAGTTCTACCTGTATTCTATCCTCTTGGAAATTTATATATATAGATTCACAAACACACACACACACACACACACACACACACACACACACACACACATATATATATATATATATATATATATTTATTTATATATTATATATATATATGTGTGTGTGTGTGTGTGTGTTTGTATATATATATATATATATATTGGCCACTAATATTATCAATATATATATATATATATATATATATATATATATATATATATATATATATATAAAAAATCAAAATTGTGGTTGAATTTATTTCTATGTATGACTAATGCATTAGCTAAGTTGTTTTTTGTGAGGTCTCTTTTGTGCTCATAAATGCGTTCTTTTTTTAATTTCTACTTGTTTCTCCAGTATATTGGGAGTAACTCTTTGGATAATTTATTTTATAAATGCCTGCTTCCGGAATATTATTGCTATTAGTGTTTGAGGATATGAGTATATCCATAAAGGTTTTTGGAAGTGTTTGTGATTATTGTGTGTAAAAATATATATATATATATATATATATATATATATATATATATATATATATATATATATATATATATATATAAGTAGCAAGTGCAAGTTTGATTAAATTTAACCGACAATGTTTGTTCCGTTGTTCAATCTACGGTGACGTCGTGTGTAATGTTTAGAGAGAGCGACGCCAAACCAGATAGAATGCATCAATATTATACCTTTTTTTTATTACGGATATCACGAACTTCTTGATAATAACAGATATTTGATAGTACTTTAGCAAAAACAACACATAAACTTCGGACATTTTATCCACAATTTTTAAATTTATTCGAAAATTGGAAAAAATGCCCTAAAATATGAAACAGGCTTGAACTTAAAAAATGCAATCAAAATTGTATATATGTATGTATGTATACAGGTATATCCAAAAACATACAACATATAAAAAAATACATCTTTCATAAAATTTTTATTTTAGTTTTAATTTCAAGCAAATAGTTTAAATATATTATTTCCAACAATCAAAATACTTCAGTGTATTTCAAAACTAATTTAAATTGAGTGGAATTAGTTTTTTTTAATCTCTAATAATGGCTTATTTTCGCCATGCTTACAAATCTCACAGTACAAATTAACTTTATCCAAAAGTATTTCAAACATAAAATATACTTTACTAAAAAGTTACTATGGGAGGATTAACTGATTTAAAATTTAATTAATATTACTTGAAACAAATATTACTTATCTGTCTATATCTTTGATATGTGGTATTATGATTACTTTTATTATTTACCTGATTCGGACTGATATCTTCATCTTCATTGCCATAATCATAACGTTTCGGCTGTTAAGAACACATAGCTCAGTGGATAAAGACGTTCGTTAAGTCCAGTGACTAGACAGCAGTAGTGAATAAAAACTAGGAAAGTTGAACTAAAGGCAAATAATGGAGACATCCCGAAGAGGCATAGCACGTGGAACTAGAACAATCTCCCCCGGTGAACGAAATAAAGGGTTCGCTTTGAAATTCCAATCATCTAAAGAAGGCCGGAAAATACAACGGCCGAAACGTTGTGAAGATGGAGATATCAGTCCGAATAATGTAGATAATTCAAATATGACCTACTTTCAGTTAAATTATACCAGAAATGCCCTTTTTTCAATGAGTTGGTTGTTGTCTAAGTTATTCAAATGCCACATATCACTAACTATATATACCGCTTTCCTATATTTGGCACGTCAGAGTAAGTACATTTGTGTCCTTTTTAATCAACACAGGTGTGAGGCAGAAAGAAAATACGAACCCAACATAAAACGTAATGATAGATTTAAAATAGCACAGGGAACAGTGTCTCACCCATCATGTTATCTATAATATATATAATCAGTTATATTGTTTTCTTCTTTCGCTCATAATCCCGGAAAAAGAGTGGTTGGGGCGCCGACGAGCTGAGCTATCCACCATTTCCCTTCATCTGTCGCGGTCATGTACCAGAGCCTCCGTCGCCGCGAATGGTTTTCTAGTGTGATCATCTTATGGCGTAGCATAGGCGTTTTTAACCTGGTGGAGCCCATCCATGTCCAGGTTAGACCACAGTCGATGTCCTACAAGTCGGTGGTCACGAACAGGTAGAAATTGTAGTATATCTGAGGCACGTTTGCAACCTGGTCCAGTGATGCTGGGTTAACACCACCCACTCAAGCAAGTTTAGATCGCCAGCTAAAACGGTTTACCTGTATATGTCAACCATCACATAATTTAGTAGATGCTTGAGGAACAGTGATGCTCGTCGAACCGAAGGAGCAGAGTGCCAGACATAATAGATACTAGCTCTCTCCAGAGCCCCATTTTGTCTATCATTTGCAAAATCAGATTACTCATTTCTAGTGTGTATATAATCATCTTATGTCTGGTATAAGGCCACCTAGAGGAGAGAATATAAAGTGTATCGAATTCACTACTCAGTATTATTTTCTATACGAATCTTTCCGTACGAATGAGCCTATGAGCCGCGTCCATTTAGGACGTAGACGATCATGGCCAATGGCTGACTGGTAAAAGGGCCCAGTCAAAAGGACACACCTAATCCCAAAACGCTTCATCAAACAAAGAATTGGAGATATCTATTAGCTACCGAAAGAAATTATAGCAACAAAGAAGCGTTATTTAAATCTCCCCAGCCGATACACAATATTTTTCTTTTTTTTTATTATTTACATTCTTTGGTTATTTCCATCACTTTGGGGCCCACTGTGCAATTTCCTGATATCTCGGTGGGCCAGTTCACCACTGATCATGTCTCTCCACATTTTCCTTTCTTGTTTATCTCTAAGCAGTTTTTCTCCTTTTGTTTATTTTCCCACCCTACGGCCCACCATCCATTCACACAAACTCATCAGGTACGTAGCTCGCTGCCTCAACCTGTCTCTCCTGACAACAATATGGGTTTATTCAATCCTTCCTTCCTTCCTCATTGTGTGTCAAAGGAATTGCATATCTTTTCCTGATTCTGAGTAGATGTTTCCTTTCTCTTGACATTTCTTTCAATACTTCCTTGTTGCTTTACTTGGCGATACATGAACGTGAAAATAATGGCATAAAGAAATATAGAGTTTCATTCTTGTGCGACATCGTTAGTATTTTTCCCCATTTATTTATCCGTAAATTTGTTAATCTAGTGTGATGGCATCTCATTTCCGTAGTAACAGATTATGTCCGTAGCAAAAGGTCGCTTGGACTAGAGGTGCGAGCTTTATTCGAATGGGCTTTCATTGAATGGATGACAATAATTAGGGAAAGGAGACGATCCCTTTAATGGCGTATCGTATGTAAATGAATAGCATGAAAAATGATTATGGACATTAAATGAATAAAGAAGTACATTGAATGTAACTTAGAAGTAAGCTTGTTTAATATAAATAAAAATAAATTGAATTGTTAATATTTTAATCTAAATATGTATGACTGTCCGTATAACAGTATACGTGGATATATTCTGATACTTATTTACATATATATTACAGTCTTACGGGCACATCACGTTGAAACACCGATTACCAAAATAATCAAAGTCTATTCTGGTCAGGATCTAGAAGGGTGACAGCTTGGGAATGTATACATGGAAGTGCGGGCGGTGTAATGGATAAGGTTTTGGAATTGTTAACCGGAGAGCCGAGTTCGAATTCCAGTTGGGGTCTTTATATTCAGATTTTGTCAAATAACCATGTAAAATGTGATGAATCCAGCTCTTCTGCCCCAGCTATGGGTCAATTAGTAAGAAATTCATGCTTAAATAATTATTATCTCAAGAAAAATTATTACGACCTGAAAAATGTATTTTCTGGCTTTTAATAACCTGCAAAGCATTGATAAGTCGAAGAAAACGAATACACACATACATACATACATACATATATATATATATATATATATATATATATATATATATATATATATATATATATATATTTTCATTGAATACGACAGACAAGGTGTTTTTATTTAGATGTTTTTTACAATTTCTCCTGCGATATAATAATGTTTCTTTTCGGATGATAAATTATATAAAAACTGTCCGAATGTTCTTTTTATCTGAGTGCTTTCAGCTATACATTTAGCCATTTTCAAGGATTAAATATTTTAACTGTTAAATAAGAAATACTTTGTTGTATGTATGTTTTATAAAATGTTTTCATTTTTCAAAACACGGTCAACATATTGTGTCCATGTTCAAAGTTAATACTATTAAGTGTTGTTTTTTTTTGTGTTTTTTTTTTTGGCATGTAAATGTTGCTATTATAATAGTGTTGTCAACAAGTATGTTACGAATAGTGTCCAGTAGGTCTCCATGAATATTTATATGACATCTAATTGAGCTATGGCCAGAAAGGTGTAGAGTGAGTCTCTGTGTCAAACATGTTGTAGTGTGTCCTATATAATTATTTAAAAATATTTTTATATTTATTAAAAATGAAAACAATTTTATAAAACATACATATAACAAACTATTTCTTATTTAACACTAAGAATATTTAATCCTTGAAAATGGTTAAATGTATAGCCGAAAGCGGTCGGATAAAAAGAATATTCGGACAGTTTTTATATAATTTATCATCCGAAAAGAAAACAAAATTATTAGATCGCATGAGAAATAGGTATAAAAACTAAATAAAAGCATCTCCTCTGTCGTATTCAATGAAATGTGTATGAAAGAAAGATTGCTGCTTAAACACACACACACACACACACACACACACACACATATATATATATATATATATATATATATATATATATATATATATATATATATATATATATATTTAGTTTATGCAAACTTAGGTAATCCTTATGGGTAGACCCGAGGAGGATGATATCCAGAGAGCTCAATGTAAAATTCAGAGCAGATATGTTTGAATAAAAGACAGACCACGTTAAGATTCCATGTAATAAGCTATTTCACCATAACCCCTTTAACAGGGTTCTGGATCATCAGACTTTACTTCCAAAAGCTGAAATGAAAAGAAATTCACACGTTTTTGACGGACCTCATCAAGTATACGTAAAATTAACGAAGTGAGGAAGTGAGGTGGGAGAGAAGATATGAGTGTGTCATATGTATCATTTCAATTTCCTATTTTTAACCCCAGTGTGTCGGCTAGATGTTGCTCAAATTTAACGCGTCCCGTCTCTAGATATAAGACCGACATTAAAGGAAGAAGCTACAACAACCCCAATCAATTACACGACAAATTTCATTCAAATTCTTAGACGCTGTTAATTTGCGTTACTTTAACGTGCATATTTGGAAGGTTATGGTTTGATAAATATCTAAATGTCTAAACAATCTACGAAGAAATTAATTTGAAATTCGGTGGAGTTTTGGGTATTTTCTATGAAACAGTCGATTGAAAAAATCATAGACAGTACATTGAAAGAGTAATCCATTTTATATTTAGTAATCTTCTTTATTCTACTAAAACTTTTATCTTATTGCTTGTTAGGTTGAGATCTATTCGTTTGATTTTTGTTCATTAAGTAAACTCGTGATTGTTTTTATGTACCCAATTATCAACGGTTATTCCCATTTAAATAATTTTATCATCAATAATGGGGTAGTATATTTCAATCTAAATTAAAATACCAATTTAAACTTTACCTTCGTGCTATTTAAAACTCACTTCCAATTAGAGAATATTAGAGGAGAGATTTGGATGAGATGTCACTAGCAGAAAATTAGGTCCTTCTTTTACAATCTTTTATCTGCACATGTCTTAAACTCCTATTTATCTCCACATACCTATCTTTTCTTATATGCCTATGAGTTCCTATATACACCTGCACACACATTCACACGAAAAAACCATATGTATATTTCCATATTTACACATATACACCTGCAGAGAAACGCACATCCATATATCTCCATACATACCTCCATATACATTTATACCTACATATATACATATACACATAAGGACACCTGTATATCCATATACATCCATATACATATGCATATATACACTTACACACATATATATGTATACACATACACACACACATATATGCATACATACATACATACATATACATACACACACATACATGCATATATATACGTAATATGCAGCATATCTACATACACACATATGCGTCAATTTGCACTTACACATATCTACACACGTACATGTCCCTATCCTCATGTCCACCTGTGCACCCACTATATATATATATATATATATATATATATATATATATATATATATATATATATATATATATATATATATATATATATATATATATATATATATATATATATATATGTCATACAAATTCATGCTCACACACACACAAACACACACACACACACATATATATGCCATACAAATTCATGCTCATACACACACACACACACACACACACACACACACATATATATATATATATATATATCATCATACAAATTCATGCTCACACACACACACAACACACACACACACACACACACATATATATATATATGCCATACAAATTCATGCTCACACACACACAAACACACACACACACATATATATATATGCCATACAAATTCATGCTCACACACACACACACACACACACACACACACACACACACACACACACACACACACATATATATATATATATATATATATATATATATATATATATATATATATATATATATATGTCATAAAATCCATGCTCACACACACACTATTTTTAACTTTATATTTAGCGGATACCCGAGTTTGAGCAAACATCGTCTTTACAAGCTTCAACATTCCAGTGTGTTAATAAGGGCAATGTGATTTCTGATGGGGTTGGTACACGTGTCCCTTTATAAGGAAACCACTGATAGAGGATTTATTTGAAAAATTTAAAAGGAATAGTTACCTCTTTTGAAAGTTAAAAAAGGAGTGCCTAAGTTGTGGGTATTTCTGGATTAACCAAATATATTTGGTTAAAACAGATATACCCACAACTATATACATATTGTTTTTTTATTTTTTTTTTTATTCTGACCTCCGGTCCCTACCATTTTAACTTTCAAAAGAGGTAAGGATTTGTTCTCAAATTCCCGAAATAAATCATTTTTACATATGTTATCTACCATCGCCTGAAGAGGTACCATCATAATACCGAAAGTTGAATTTTCTTTTGTGTAGCGATGTAAAATATTTTTATTGTAATCTATTATAATAAAAAAATATTATAATAATATTTTGCTTTACTTTGTATTGAGCCCTTTTTTAAAAATATAAGTAAATGCTAAGAACTCTGGATTCTTACTCCATGTGTTCTTTCTCTCTTTTCATATATATATATATATATATATATATATATATATATATATATATATATATATATATATATATTCAACAACAGCCATAGGTCAATTAAAGGAAAATATATATTTTTCTTTTAATTGGCCTATGGACGTAAGCCAAACTTTTGGGAAATTACACAATATTTTATAACACTTGTAGCTTTCGTCAGTGGTTGTTGTTGAATAGATAGATAGGTATATATATATATATATATATATATATATATATAGAGAGAGAGAGAGAGAGATAGATACCATGACTGTGATAGATTGATAAATACCTACCTACATACATACAAAGACAGTGATAGATAGATAAATAGATAGTTGGATACCAAGACAGACAGATAGATAGATAGATAGATAGATAGATAGATAGATAGATAGATAGATAGATAGATGAAGACTAAAAAATTAAAAACAAATATATAGATATTCCAAGACTGTTATAGATTGTTAGATAGACAGATAGATAGCAAGCCTGTGACAGACAGACAGATAGATAGATGGATAGATAGATAGATATCGACGTAAATATAATCATAAACTCATATGTCTATAAAAGTAACTGGCATAAAATCTGATTAAATGTAATCCAATATCTCCTGAGGTTCGTGAAAACCTGATCTGTCACTGATGTAGGTAAGGTCATATAAGGATCAGGGGCTCTTCCGATTCACATCATTCTCTTTCACGCCAAATAATAGAAACGGGCCGCAAATGTTAATAAAAATTTATCTTACCATAAATTCCTGGCAAATAATTACGATAATGCGGCGAAGAAAATGTTGCCAGCTCATCCCATTTTTATTAAATAATTGGATCTATTCAGAGATGACCATACAAAATATCTTGCCTTATCATTATTTTCCTAAAATACAGTAGCTAACGGTGGTCAGGAGAATTACTTCCTTTAAAGAGAGGAGATTTCCTCATGATACATCTTCTAAAAATACTAGATAAGTATTGGTTTGTGCGGACGTAATAACGTTTTTCCCTTGTTGATTTTTTCACTAATCAAGAAGCTACTACGCTTGAATGATAGAAAACTGCGTCTAGACCTTATTTCATGGTGTTCGGAAAAGAATTACGTATTTCACAGCTATAATTATTAGTCAAACATCCAAAGCAGAATCAAGCTTGAATTGTAGGAGAACGTATCTTGAATTAATTTATCTTTTCTATTCGATAGTGATTCATTTATTGTGCTATTCTTACTTTGATTTGGGAACCTTGCAGAAATGTTATTTGGTTCATGGCTTGGGAACACAAAACTTTATACCATCTGCATCACCTTTTTAGCCGGGGATGCACAACTTTCATTTTTGCATCGCATTATCATTTGATGAAAGTGAAAAATGAATTTTCTGTCTCAACTGAAAAAGAAAAATACTGTGGCTACCAAAAAATAAAAAATAACATTTTCAAAACGAAAACCACAATTCCACAGTACTCACTTCTTTGTGTCTAAAAGAATATTATTTCTATTTTTTATATTACTGTTCAACTAATGCAAGGCACAAGAGCCACTCAAAATAGAGGCTTTCTGTGTGGTGTTGTAGGAGCGATAGAAAAACAAGAAGTTCAGTTCATGATGTTATGTAGGAAATATGGCAGTTAAGCCTAGACTTGAAGACGTCAAGATTGTATTGATCTTGAAAAAATCCTGTCGGGAATCTGTTCATGAGGCAACTATTCTTCGGATGGAGCAGTGCAAGTGGAAGTTTTGCTAATGGAATAAGAAGGGAGTCAACCTTGTGTACGTGGCATACATATCGCGTCCCAGCTGCAAAGTCAGTGCCTGTGTAAGCATGAACTGGAGCTCATCAGAACACATGCATGGTATCGATAGAGTAGCGATGGTCTGTGAGCAAAGGGTTGTCGGTTGATATATTCATCACCTAAAAGTCGGCGGAGATGCTTTCGATCCAGTTTTAGCAGGATATGTTTGCTATGCTCCATTTTTAGTCTGATCTAGCTCTTGTAATGATAGAGTTTGGCAGTGAAGTTCCCATTTTCCGGGATCTCTATCAATAGATCCTATATGAGTTCCACTTCAGGTGTGGCACCATTTACGAGGCAGAAAAAGGAAGAAAAGGAAAAGAAGGCAGAAAGAAAGGCGAGACGAATCGTAGGTGATAAGCAGCCACACACACGGCTAAGAGACAATGAAAATATTGATAAGTAACAATGAAAAGGGTGTCATTACAATGACAGGGAATTTCTGAGTAAAAAAAAAAAGGAAAAGAAAGAAGGAATCAGATGTGTTTTGATAACGGCTGTGTTATCTAGGCTGGACCACTGGCCAGGGAAAAATTCAAGTGAAAATGCTATTTCGATAAGTGACGAGAAACAGGCCACTAAAAAAGGACTTTGGACAGATATGAAAAATTAAATCCCACACAAGCAGTCTCGCTGACCGAATTCTTTTCGACGAAACAACTTAGGCCTGCCTGCGATAATAAAATTATGTTATCGGGAATATGTACCGAAGGAAAATGAATGGAGACCCAGAAGTGTTTTTCTTTCTTCTTTGGAGGCGACAGACTGACTGAAAACTTTGGGGATATTTCTTTTTTGAAGCCATGTTAAGAATACCACCCATCTTGATAAATTAGCGATAAAATACCTGACAAACACCACGTGTAAAACAAGAGTTGTCATATTGTCCGTTGCGACTAGAAGGGTGATAACGGCGATTGAAAGGAAGAAAAGGGAAAGAGAAGAGATAATTTTTTTTTAGTTAAGCAAGATATTTTTTTTTCCCGAAACAAAGCCGCGGATTGTTCACTCCCGACTAAGACATCATTGGTCAAGTGCTGATCACGTGACGCACGAAGGAGGAGGAAAGATACCCGACCAAGACCTCATTGGCCGTGAGTGATCACGTGACGCACGAAGAAAGTTGTCGACGCCCCATCCAGAGTATAAGTATGAGAAGCTGCTACAAAGAAGTGGGGAGGGCAGTTCACGCCCCTCAGAGGTATGGTGAGAAAGTGGGAGTGAGGAAAGGTTCCCAAAAATGGAAAATAGTGGAAAATCCCTAACCAGAAATAAAAGAGGTGGATAAGTATTTAGAATTATCGAGAAACCCCCCGACATCAACAGACCCAACCCGTTTTTATGTCGGCGTCGATAAAAGCGAGGCCCCAACAGGCAGAAATCAGTTCGGGCTCGAGTTTCCAGAGTTGAGTTCCCAGAGTCAGTCTCCAGTTGAAACCGCCTTGCAGATAGCTGACCAAGATTCACGCAAAAAATTCCGGACTCCTCTTCAACCCAAGAACAATTATTTTGATGAGCGACTTAGAACCAGACAACCGAAATAAGTTTTTCGACTTTCGTCCAAAGACAAACCGAAACACCAATTTCTTAGAGAGCAAACAACTTGAAGCGTTAAAACTTGTCTAGCGGAAACGTGTCACAATCCACAGAACGGGTCGGGAGATAGATGCAGTCCTATGTATCGAACAACTAGACATAAAGTTTGTTACCTTTTTCTTTGATACTTTGAACTTTTTGAGTTTTCATTTTCTTTTCTTTTATGTATATTTGTGTAGTATCACCCCGTTGAACTCAATTTGCATTACGGCCCCAACCACTGTTTGATCTCGTCTGTCTAAGATCAATTCACAACGTGGGTAGGCAGACTGAGATCAATGCAGTTACCTTGGTAACCAGGCGTTGGAAGCGAGTTGGGAACGACGAGGCTGATATCAAATCTAACCAGATTCCCACCCGAATCACCAAAAGGTTAGAACGTCACATTTGGGTGCCGCGACCGATACCAAGCCAGTTGGCCGTCACAGGACGAGACAACACGACTGACGCGACAGGCGGACGTCACGTTTGGAGCAGCGACACCAGAACGGAGCAGCGAGGAACGACCAGCTGACGCCGCGGCGAGGACGTCACAATTGGTGCTGTTTGGGGACGTCACAACTGGCGCCGTGGTAGATCAGGATAGAACGTCACAGTCGGCGCTGCGACCGGGGGACGACGTCACACAGGTCTGGAGTGAGAGTGAATCACAGTAGATGTTCAAGTCAAAAAGCCTCCTTGAGTGTAGACATCCAACCTTCTTCAAGAGTCTGTTCGATGATAGTGTGATGATACTATTTTGGTTTAAGAAGTATTGCATTTTACAAGCTAGTCATTCAACAATCGAGCCACCAGGATAAAAATTATTGGAGAAACAGCCGCCAGGTTCTGGTCATCCATATTTTTAGAGATGCTCCTATAAACTTTTGTATCAACCGAATTAAACATCGGAGTATTTCCTTAAGCATATCATTAATAGAGAACAGAAGGAGCGTAGGACCGAGGAGAGAATGCTGATCACATATGCTTTTAAAAAGGACTTGATAATTTGGCTCTTCCAGATATTCCATCGCTGGAGGGTTTCAGACCTTGTCAAAAAAACCGTTGATATCTCTTGTGCATTCTTTCCTACAGGGTGCCTATTAAATAAGCGGCAAATTTATTGTCACTGTTTTATCTTTCAGGGATAATTGACCTTGAATAACCGTGAATAAATTTCTTAAATATTCATAACCTTGAATAATCATTCGACTCTCGCGACATTACTTAACCCTGATTGGTTCTTTTGCGATTGAATTATTGCTTCTCGTTCTTGTGACTCGTCGTTTAAAGGTTATTTCCAGACAACATCCATCTTTCGTTCTGCCCTTCTCGTCTGGCTAAACAACTCACTGATTATAAATGTCAAGTTATCGTACATTTTAAATAAGAAAATCCAACGTGGGGATTGACGAAATTGTCCTTATTAAATTCCTCTAGATGCCTTGCTATTCAATAACACTTGAAGACATCCATTACGACTGTACTTTGTATTTGATCCTTCATGTCTTCCCTTAACTTAATAAAGACTAATATAATGTATATAGAAAAAAATGATACTTATAATAATGATTATTCTATGCTCAATTTCTCTTAATTTCACATAAATTCAATTTCCTCAATTTCACCTAAAATAAATGTATTCTTCTTTTATGTGAGGGGTCTTTCCCGCCCTTTCTCTCTCTCTCCCGTCGATTTATGACGCATGAGGATCAAGCAACTCAGGTCCTAGAATCCGACTGCCAGCACAAATCTATTTGACTATAGTGGTGAAGGCTTTGTGTAGATTTTTTTTAGCCGACTAAGGAAACCTGGAGTACAGCGGATTTTGAATTCAGAGAAGTCCTTCTCCTTGCTATCCAAGAATTATAGAACTCAGTCTGTCCTGCTATTTACCCATAGCTGGGAAGAGAAGAGGACTCACATCTCTTCCAAGGGTATTAGTACGTAAGTGAATGTAATGAATCCAACTGGGATTCGTAATCGGCTCTCCGATTCCGAGCCGCTATCCATTATACCAAAGTGCTTCTCTCTCTCTCTCTCTCTCTCTCTCTCTCTATATATATATATATATATATATATATATATATATATCCATTATCATCATCAAATTGACTTTTGTAATCATAGTGCGGATCCGAATGCAGATGCCACGCTGAATCTCGCAGTCGTTGTTAATCTGGGCCT